TGTTTGAATGTGTATGTGTGTGTGTGTTTAGCCGTTGGAAAAAATGAAAATAATAATAAAGATGTATATGTTAGTGTGAAAAATTGAAAAAAAGATGTGTATAAAAAGTGTTGTGTTAAAGTAATTATAGTATATAAAAAACATGTGAACAAAAATTCCCTTTTTTCAATTTATCGTTGGTATATATTTAACCACATAAAAGAATTGAATTAACAGTATGGTGTTATTCAATCGATAGCAACAACTAAAAAAATTAAGAGTACAAATTTTTGAATCATAAAAATGATGCTTTTAAATTTAAAAGTTATAGTCATTGACTCAAAAGCATATAGGGATCTGAAATACTGCGATACGCATTCTGGTGGCAGAAAATTTAACTAATACAACGGGGTCGATTTTGACATTTTACATGGAATAATTTCTAAACTCGCAAGTTTTATAATTAAAAATCCTAAAATATAGCTTGATAATTAATAATTAAATTAATTTGTAAAAAAGAAAATACTACAAACCAGTCACATTCAGTACAATAAATAATATTGATTAATATTATGAAATATTCAAAAGCAAAGTGTGAAAGCGATAATCTAACTCTATTTTGTCACACTAAATATTTAATTAAAACATGTTTAATTAATTGTATTTTCAGTTAATCAAGATTTGAAATTAAAAGTAGTTTATAAATATTATTTTTACGTTGCAGTGTGTCTCCTACAACATATTTATTTAACATTTTCAGATTGGTAAACAAGAAACACAACATAACCTAAAACATAACCTTAAAACTATTCGAACTATTTTTTAACTCGATTAACTCCTAACTTTTCTTGAAAAGGAAACTGTATTTCCACTTCAAATTTTAATTAAATATTTAGAGTAGATATTTTTTAACATTTTAATGAAGTAAATAATGTTTTTCGATATGAAAACAATTCTTTTATTGACAGTTGCATTTACTTATGTGATTTATTTTACTGAATATATTAAATATTTGGAGCGAATTGCATTTTATAATTTTTTAAAACTTGCGTATAAACAAACTGAAACAATTTTTAGCCCCCCAATTAACTTTATTCAACTTTTTATATAAAAAATAATTAAAAAGAAGTCTGAAACATGTGTGTTTGTTAAAATTTGACCCCGTTGTCGACCGCCATGTTTGTTAGTGACGTCATGATTTCAGATCCCTATACTGTTAAATTAAAAAATGTTGTTTATTGATTCAAAAGGATTCACCTTCGAATTAACATAGTATGCTGTCAATTTAAGAAATATGCTTTTGTTTCAAAGAAAGTGATACTATCGAATCATTAGAATCGGTGCTTTCAAACCAACAGCATATACGTTAGGCAGCCCGTTATGACACTATTCAATGAACCCAGTAAAAAAAAACTAATTCAAATGAATTGAAACGAATTAACATTTTTGGTAGGCTCCAATTCGTATTTGTCACAAAGCGGGATTCACTCAAGCTCTTTGTATATTCAATTGAATTTAATTCAATATGTACCAATTTGTCCAAACGAATTCGCATTCGAAAGAAATGGCCAAGGAATGCATTGAATTCGTGCTAACGAATTGAAAAACAATTAAAGGCTCAAAACTTGTCCAGTGAATTGGTACGGATAGAAGGTTCGGAAGTTCAATACAGTTTCACGAATTCAGGAAAATTGCATCATGGCTCGAATTCGTATTTGTTACAAAGCGGGATTCACGAAAGCTCTTTGTGAATTCTTTTTAATTCATTTCAATTAGTTTTCGTTTACTGGGAATCAAACCCATATGTCATTGATTCAACAGCATTTTTTTCTCCGTGTGATGTTTTGTCATGATTCCTCATTATTTTTTTAGTAGGGTTCTATGGCATTGCAAAATTTTTGATTGAAAATCTTTTAGAAGAGTTGGTGAATCATAAAGTGCCACAATTGAAGGGCTACATAAAATAAGGGGACGAGCGCGTGGTTGAAAGGGATAATATCAGTCAGGTAGCAGCGAGCGGCTCAAGGCTTGTCACTGCTACCCGACTGGTAGTATCCCTTCCAAGCCTCGCGTTCGTCCCCTTATTTTATGTAGCCCTTCAATTGAAAGGAAGAAAACGTTGACACGAAAATTTCTATAATCACAAAAAAATAAAAAAAAGTGGAACTAAAATCTCGTCACTTCCTTGCTGTTAGTTCCGGGTAACGCTAAAAACGAGTAAGAAGATCCGCCATATTGGCTCCAACATTTAGAATTTTTTCAAAATGATCTTAGATTCATAATCAGCGATTCCAAAAACTTCCGAGTTTCAGTCCAATTAAACGATTTTTTATGTCCGCCATATTGGATCCGCCATTTTGAAATTTTTTAAAATGACCTCAGATTCGTAATCAGCGTCCCGAAAAACCCCCCAAGTACCGAGTTTCGTCAAATTTAAATGAATAAAAAAATTTGTGCATCTGAGGGTTAATATACTAGTCCTGGTTACTGTGATAGCGGCATATTCATCAAGCTTGTATATGAAGCAAATACTTTCAAAATTTTTTAAAATTAAAACAAGAAGATATACATATATATTAGGGTGGCCGTTAAAAAAGACGTTTTGGAATTTCGTCCATTTCCGGGTCTCATTTTTAAATTAATATTTAGTGGTGCCTGTAGCCTATTGAAATTTTGCATGTATTTTGCATGAAAAAAAAACTTTTTTTCATAGATTTCTTGTAAAATCGTTGAAAATTAATATTTTTTGACTGAACTACACTGTTTCTCTTCATAAATGTTCAAATAATAATATACAATTTTTGACATATGAAATTTGTTAAGTTAACTATTTTTTTACAAGACCCAAAAGTTGACCAAAAAAACCAAAATAGGTTATTATTGACAAAAAATATTAATTCTAAAAAAAAGAAATTTAAACCGCTAATCATGGTTTCTATTGTTTTTGAGGTCGCTGATTACAAAAGTGAAGTCATATTTCAAAAATTCAAAATAGCGGATCCAATATAGCGGCCATAAAAATTTTAAAATTAATCAATTTCTAGGAAACTTCGTATCAAGGGGTTTTGGGGTCCCTGATTACAAATCTGAAGTCAGATTTCGAAAATTTAAAATGGCGGATCCAATATGGCGGCCATGCAAATTTTAAAATTACCCAGTAAACAAAAACTAATTGAAATAAATTAAAAAGAATTCACAAAGAGTTTCAGTGAATCCCGCTTTGTGACAAATACGAATTGGAGCTATGTTGCAATTTTCCTGAATTCGTCAAACTGTATTGAACTTCCAAACCTTCTATTCATACTAATTCAATGGACAAGTTTTGGGGCCTTTAATTTTTTTTAATTCGTCAGCACGAATTCAATGCATGCCTTGGCCATTTCTTACGAATGCGAATTCGTTTGCACAATTTCAGGCAAATTGAATCGAATTCAATCGAATATACAAAGAGCTTGAATGAATCCCGTTTTCTACCAAAAATCTTAATTCATTTCAATCCGTTTGAATTATTTTTTTTTACTGGGTAATTAATTTTTATGAAACAAGGTATCAAGGTGTTTTTGGGGTCCCTAGTTACAAATCTGAAATTAACAATTTAAACAGGACATCACTGCTAATCAGAAATTAGAAGGTTAGTATTTATTAGCTAGATATGGTTCATTCACAAATTAGATGATACGATTTTATATATCCCAGTAAACGAAAACTAATTGAAATGAATTAAAAAGAATTCACAAAGAGCTTTCGTGAATCCCGCTTTGTGACAAATACGAATTGGAGCCATGATGCAATTTTCCTGAATTCGTGAAACTGTATTGAACTTCCGAACCTTCTATCCGTACCAATTCACTGGACAAGTTTTGAGCCTTTAATTTTTTTCAATTCGTTAGCACGAATTCAATGCATTCCTTGGCCATTTCTTTCGAATGCTAATTCGTTTGGACAAATTGGTACATATTGAATTAAATTCAATTGAATATACAAAGAGCTTGAGTGAATCCCGCTTTGTGACAAATACGAATTGGAGCCTACCAAAAATGTTAATTCGTTTCAATTCATTTGAATTAGTTTTTTTTTACTGGGATATTTTGACTCCATCCTCCTTTATTACACTTTCTACATAGTAAAAATTAGAAAATTACATGTGCTGTTACACTTAGGAAAAAGGGTACATAAAAGTATGCTATATTATTAGTTCATTTTAACTAATCGATTTATTAGAAATATTACTATTTGAATCAGAGATCGACTTTTTGTTATCAAAATAGTTATTTCTAATTAACTTAAATTTAGAAAGAACTTTCACTAAAATTTTGTTGGCTAATGGGATAAGATATTCCATAATTAAGTTTCATAAAAAATTATTAATTTTTTAAACATTATGCCCGCCATATTGGATCCGGCACCTTGAATTTTTGAAATCTGACATCAGATTTGTAATCCGAGACCTCCAAAACCCCTTGATACGAAGTTTCCTAGAAATTGATTAATTTTAAAATTTTCATGGCCGCCATATTGTATCCGCCATTTTGAATTTTTGAAATATAACTTCAGTTTTGTAATCAGCGACCTGAAAAACAATAGAAACCATGATTAGCAGTTTAAATTTCTCGTTTTTTTTAGAATTAATATTTTTTGCCAATTATAACCTATTTTGGTTTTTTTGGTCAACTTTTGGGTCTTGTAAAAAAAAGTTAACTTAACAAATTTTATATTTCAAAAATTGTATATTATTCTTTGAACATTTATGAAGAGAAACAGAGTAGTCCAGTCAAAAAATATTAATTTTCAACGATTTTACAAGAAATCTATGAAAAAAAGTTTTTTTTTTCATGCAAAATACATGCAAAATTTCAATAGGCTACAGGCACCACTAAATATTAATTTTTAAAAAAATAAAAAAATACGTATCTAATTTTTTTCAATTTGTGACAAAATGAGACCCGGAAATGGACAAGATTCCAAAACGTCGTTTTTAACGGCCACCCTATTATATATATACAATTTTTTTCTTATTCCAGGTGATCAGACGATATCGCGAAGAAACTGATGATGGTTCTATCGTCTGGGGATTTGAAAATGATGATGGATCATACAAGGAGGAAGTTATTGGTATTGACTGCATTACTCGAGGAAAATATGGATATGTTGATCCAGACGGTATTAGGCGTGAATACACGTATGAGACTGGAATTAAATGTGACGAAGAGGAACAACAAGAAGACATTTTAAATACATTTGTAGACTATCAAGAGAACAAATTAGTGCTACCCAGTGGGAAAACCATTGATCTGTCGAGTATGGGCAAGAAACAAGCTCGTCGTCCACAATTTGCATACAGAAATTAAAATTGCATTACTCTTGACTTATATAGTTAGAAGCGATTTGTACATTTTTATTTTTTTAATTTAATTTCTCAATGTACATTTTATTTTAAAAATGTTTGTTTTATAATTGATCAATAATTGAATTAGTAATTCACTCTTTGCTAAAGCAAAGACTTCTAACTCTATTCTTTTTTTCCGTGAATCTCGTGACAAATGCAATGAAATAAATTGAATGTAATATTTCCATTTCTTTTTTTAATGAAAGAGCAGATTCTCGTCGAGCATCTCTAGTTTTAAACCAAAATGCTTCAATCGATTTATACTTAAATGAATTTTATATTTTCAAAAAAAATTTTTAATTAAAAAAAAGTAATAATTAAAAGTATTACAGCATGATAAAAATTATTAGCGATAGGTTCATTTGTATTGCAATTACCAGTAAAATGCGATAGTATGTACATTCATCAATGCCATTATTCATTTATTGAGGTGTTTATTAATATTAGTCTACAATACATTTTTTAAATGTTAAATTTTTAATTTATCTTAATTACTGAAAATAGGTTCAGTAAAAATTCTGAAATTCATTGTGATAAAATTTTTTATAATTGATAAATTATAAATCACTGAAAAACATCTTCGTCATGTCCATTAATAATTTTTCAAGGACATGTTTATTAAAACTTATGTATAGATTATAAATAATAATAAATAAATTATGTCTTAATGTAAAAAACTTTTTTCAATTTTGATGGGTGGAAATAATGTATAAAAATTCCAAGGATTTCTATGAAAATTTTATTTACAATCCTAGGTAATATTCAACATAAATCTCGCAGTCTGTTTGAAGTTGCAATTTACATTCAATTACATTTCTAAGGAAGGGCTTAGTTAAAAAAACACATGTTCATTCCCAATGAAATAGAAAAAATTATTTTACTTCACCGATAACCATTTATATTGATAAAAAGTTCATTCACTCATTTTTTAAAAGTAACACGGCATAACAACATGGATTTCTAAATAAACATTTCTAAAACAAAAATTCTGTTTGTTCACTAGAAATTATCGAAGAGTAAAGATTGTAGTTTATCTGCATTAAAAATAAAATTTGTAGATGATAAATAACTTGAGAGAAAATTGATATTTCGATACTAGTGATAACAAATAATTGACGTTGAGCAGATGATTCAATAATGAAAAATTATTCTAGCATATACAATATCATAAAAATTGTCTTGTAGAGTTGAAAGTGGTGAAGCTACTCAACCAATTTTATAGCAAATTATTTAAATAAATCACATGTTAATTGTTACTTTCAATCATCTGAACCCGCAGATCTTTTCACCTTCCTTTGCCTTGGACTTTGTTTTGGGCTCTTTTGGGATTTCTCAACTGTAAAATAATTTAATATAGTAAACATTACATTTTTAATAAACTTTTATGTTAGTAAAAACTATTAACAGATATAATTTATTAAAAAAATTTATATTTTATGAAAATAGTGTTATTTTACAAAATAATTACTTAAACAAGAAATATTTTATTTAACCCGTCAGCACTCGCGCTATAGGGAAAAAGTCTCACGCAACACTACTCAACCTATAGGGAACTCTTGGAGTGCAAGTGAGACACTAAAAAAAGCGATAGGGCTAACGGGTTGATAATTTAAAAATCATGGTGTCCGACTATAGATGCAACCATTTTCGAGTAGCGCAATGAGTAGCACAAAGTTTTGTTAATAATTAATAATAAATATTAAAACCTATAGGATTTAAATATTATATTATTAACTTCTAATAAGCTTTAATTCAATTTTCCAGCAGGAAGCAATTAAAAAATTATCTTTTTTACTTTATAAATCCAAAATATCTGACAGATGTCCGACTATAGAAAAAAGGGAAAAAAGTGTCCGACTACTGAAGCTTTCGTTATTTTTCATTAAAATGCTCATATTTTATTAAATATAAAATGAAGAGTTAAATCTTACAGATTTGACAGGCTTGCAAAATTCTCCGTCAATTTAGCCGCAGCCAATGTTTTTTAAGCTTCAAAGTTGTATTATTTCATAATTTATGGAACAAAATTCTCCAAATATGATATATTCAACTCATTGTCTGATCTACAAAAATAATAAGAAATATTTGTAATATTTTGATAAATAGACGTCTGCTAAATTAGGTGCTTACTTGGAGCTCCTTATACATTTTTTCAGATTTCAGTTATGGAATTCAGGAGACACATCGAAACTTTAATTAAAAAACAATGGCTAAAGCTTTTCTGATGCTTTATAGCTTTCTAAATCTGTAAAATTTAATTCTGCATACATACATTTGGGCTGTTCCACGTGAACCTTTTCTATCAAAAATTTAAATTAAGTTCAATATATGTGGCATTCCACGTCAAGTGATCCGGGTCCAAATTTACATGGAATATTTGAAAAATTTGTAGTTTCTTTAAAACAAAACGAAAACATGTTTTCTATTTTGGGTTTTTCTGACGTTTTTCAGCGCTTTTAATGGTGTAAACAAATTTTAAAAAAAAATTTTTTAACCTTGAAAAATTCAATTAAAAAATAAAATTTTATTTTTTTATCAAATGGACATTTTTTTATTTTTTCTTTTAAATTTTTTTCATAAAGGTGAGGTTTTTTCCTAAAAAAATTTATAGGTCAAAACGTGGGACGAGAACTTTTAACTGATCAAATTAAGCATTTACTTCTGCAGTGCACGGGCCCACAGTGGAATTTTTTTTACAATTTATTATTAAAAAATGTCTACAGCTTACAATTTTTAACCGATTTGAGTGTTCTTTGTTTTAAATTAAAGGGGAATAAATTCTTAAGACATCCCTTAAGGCCGATTTTGGGGATTTTAATTGTTTATAATTTTTTTTTAATCAAAGTTAACAAATTGATACACTTTTTTAAAAAAGGACGTTTATTTTCTTATTCCGTTGCTGCACATGATCTAAATCAATTCAAATTTATCCAATATTACCACCAGATAATTAATAAAGCATAACATAATTTATTTCAATTGTTATAAATAATATACAGCCCAATTTGTTTACACCATTAGAAAGTGCTGAAAAACAGCAGAAAAACCCAAAATAGAAAACATCTTTTCGTTTTGTTTTAAAGAAACTACAAATTTTTCAAATATTCCATGTAAGACAAAAAATTTGAACTTTGACCCCTTCCAGTTTTTACATTTGTTTAAATAAATTAATAATATTTGGTATTTTTAATTGTATCTAATAGGACTACTGTTTGTGCAAACTTTTAACCTGATCCCAAACATTTCAAATTTGGACCCGGATCACTTGAGGTGGAATGCCACATATATATGAGGAGCAATTTTTCAAAAGTTGATAAATCCATTTTTCAAAAAAATTGAGATAAACACATATTCAAAATATTAAAATCCTTGGAAATCGATTTATCACTGTTCAATTTAAGAAAAAAAATTATTACCAGAGAATTTTCAATTTAAAAAATATTTGAGCTTAACCTTTATGATTTTTAATTTTTTTATTAGAAAAAATGACCAAAACCTTTAAATTTCCTTATTATAATAGACTTTAATTACAAACGGATCGTTTTAAATAGAAAAAAAATATTCAAAAATGAATAACTTATTACAATTTTTCTATATCAAAGTTAATCTTCACTCGAGTTTTCGATGAAAATAAGTCAGCAATAGGTAATTTGACGCAGAATTCCACCATGAATGAGTAAAATTGCGATCTCAGCAAAAAGTATATTATTCTTAGAATAATAGAATAAAGATGAATAAGTTTAAAAAATTTTCAACTTAACCTTAAAAAAACTACTAGTGAGGCATTTCACGTCAGAAATATCACGATTTGCAAAGGGTATGCCGATTTTCGCAAAACTTTGTGGAATTATAGTTCTATATAAGAGACTTCTTTCCCCCAAATTTAAAAAAAATTCAATATTTTTGAAGATACGCCATTTTGAATTTTAATATTAATTTTATAAAATTTTGAATATCTCGGAACATTGTTTATGGATTTTTATGAAATTTACACATTTTTCAGGTAAAAGTATATACTTTAAAATGTAAATAAAGTTAATAAAAAAAATTCATTTTTAAATAAAAAAAATAAAAAACAATTTTTTGTTTATTTATTCTTCTCTGAAAAAAATGTTAATAACATTTTTGGATTCCATAGTAATTCACCTTTAATTTCATAAAAAAAAAATTGATGGAGACTCAACTGGTTCCGGAGATATTGAAGTTTTTGTAAAAAAAGCGTCGCCGCGCAATAGTAGCATACTGCACAAGTCGCGTAGTACGTTTCCGTAGTCGTGCATTGCTGCTGCAACTAGGCCTTTTTTTACAAAAACTTCAATATCTCCGGACCCAGTTGAGTCTCCATCAATTTTTTTTATAAAATTAAAGGTGAATTCATAAGAAATCCAACTATGTTTATAACATTTTTCTCAGTAAAAGGTAAATAAACAAAAAATTGTTTAAAGAAAATTTTTAATTTTTTGATTTAAAAATTAATTTTTTTTATTAACTTTATTTGCATTTTAAATGCAATTTACATGAAAAATGTGTAAATTTCATAAAAATCCATAAACAATATTCCGAGATATTCAAAATGTTATAAAATTAATATTAAAATTCAAAATGGCGTATCTTCAACAATACTATAATCCTACGAAGTTTCGCGAAAATCGGCATATTGATATTCATATCGGCATAGTGATATTTCTGACGTAAAATTACTCTAGTGCAAAGATGATACATTTCAATTTAAAAAAGAAAGATTTATAAGTACTTATTATTACTTACTTTTCAGGTAAGTGATGTTTTAGTCATGAATATTTATTGTTAGACAACATTTTTTATCAAATTTATATAAAATATTATTAAAATTTACTTTAAAGAGTCAAGAAAAAGTAAATATCAAAAGAAATGCTCATATATTAAGTGGACTTTTTTAAATTTAAAAGTAACATTCTTGTCAAATGGAGATATTCTGTTATTTTATGAAAACTTTAATTCTGTGGAAGAAAGGCATAACAGCATAACTGACATTTTTATCAAATTTGAGATAACATCAGATTTGTATATATTTAATATTGCTCTTCAAAGTTCAATAGCTGAAAAATCATTAAAATGGTTATTAATGTAGGAAATAACGGAAAACATAATCGCATAATTGCGTTTTTGACAAAAGGAAACCAGCATAATAACATAACTGCATTCAGTTTAAAAAACAATTGACATAATTAAGAATGAAAATAACCTTTATGAATAAAAACAATAAGAATTTTGTAACAAAATGTTTTTAGTAAAATACATTTTTCGTACTTTAAATTAAATATATTTATTTTAATAAAACTGGAACAAATTTTTTATTGCATAAATTGTGCATTTAATTATGTACTTATTTTTAAGGGTATTTTTTTTAAATTTTGGAAAGAATATCAAAAAATAAATTGAAAAATTCTTCAAGTTGAACAGTAAAGTAAATTTTTTTTCTCGTTTCAATAAATTAAAAACATTTTATAAAAAAATAAATTTTATAACTAAATAAACTCTTACAATTTTTTCTAACGAATTAATAGTTTAATTTGTCTTTGTGTGAAAAATCTTTTTATTATGACAAATCAAACCAAAATAAATTGTGACATTAAAAGTGTCTGAAGTTGGACTCATATACAATTTGAACTTGCATAACCGCATAAGTGCAATAAAACTCATGATTCCGATGAAAAATTATCAAAATTTATATTAAATCGTGTGTTTTATTAAATGCTATAAAAGAATTTTGAAAATATATTAAATAATAACTACTAAATGCAAAAGACCGAACAAATCTGTTGATTTTCTGAATTGACAGAAGTGAGAGAATATTAAAATTAATTTATCTCGAAATCATGACAAATGCAGTTATGCTGTTATGCCTTTCTTCCACAGAATTAATCTAATAATTCCAAGAAAATTTGGTAAACGTTTTTCAATATTGAAACTAAAGGTAATATTTTGGTAATTTTTTTACTGGAATGTACATCTAATAATGAAGGTCAATTACCATAGTAGCAATTTTTAGATTGTTTTGATGGAAAGTGTTAAGAATATTATTATTGCCTATAAAAGTGCATGAGTTAGACAATTGTACCTTTTGTTGAGATCGCACTTTTACTCAATCATGGTGGCATTGTGCATCAAATGATCTATTTCTAACTTATTTTCATCAAAAACTTGCGTGAAGATTTACATTTTACCACTCTTCGCTATTTCGGACCACTGTGCGTACCTTGTGCCGGACCGTACCTGTCAAACTTGACGTAGTCGCGTTGTGTATAAAATATATTTAATATCAGTATCCATCTTAACCAAAACACTTCATTCTTTTTCTAAAAAATTCAGTATATGTATTATGTTTATTCAAAATTTTTATAGACAAAAATTATATTAAATAATAATTGAGTAACTTTTGAACCACCAAACGAAATTAAATGAGGCAAACACTAAACAAATCTTCGCTGTGGTTTCTTTAAGATTCCGAAAAAAATTCTAACAACAATCTTTGTACAATATTTTAATATTTTTGTTCACTTTTAAGCGTAAACAGAAGTTTAGTATTTGCCTCATTCAATTTCGTTTGGTCATTCACAAGTGATTAAATTATTATTTAATATAATTTTTGTTTATGAAAATAAAGAATTAAGTGTTTTGGTTAAGATGGAAAAGAGATATAACGATTTAATCTTAAAAACTACTGAATTTGGTGGAAATATTTCTGTTTATGTGTAGATTAAAATTCCTTAGTTTCATTGCAATGGTTTACTTAATCCGAAAAAACGAAATTCCCACTTGGAGTCGCACATTAATTAATAATCATATATTATTATTGTCATACTCTTCTTATACATATATGTATAATTATAAATAAATGTGAATGCTAGAGAACTAATTTTATTTAAATTGAAGAGAAGAGATTAACTTACACATTCTCAATGTTTCTTCTGGCACCCAACTGTAGTCAATATTATTTGGGTTAGAAGTACCCATTTCAACTGGTGCTTTACGCGAAGAAGAAGATCGTGACTTTCTACCGAAAGATGAAAGAAGCTGCTGACCTCCAACAAGAATTAGAACTACACAAGCAGCTAAAAAGACATAAAGAAACACCGTCTCTCCATCCAGACCTTCATCCAATTCTATAATCTGTACCGTCTCATTGTAGACAGCTTCGCTAAACGTGTTACCACCCTAAAATTTCAGAAAATGAATTATTTATTTATTTTTTTTTATAAAGAATACAAAATCGGTATTCTTAATTTGAAAATAATTGAGACTCCAAAATTACAGGAACAACACTGACTAATTTTTTTTAAGTTACTAAGTGGCTTTAATTTAATTTTCAGTTCATTTATTTTTTTCTTATTTTAAACGAATCGAAAAATTTGATATTCCTAAATGAAATAAAATAGTTTTAGGGTACATTTGACATTGACGAAAGGGAACATCCAATTTTTTTCAACTAGATACACTTGATATATTTTTAATAAAATAAAATTGATAGCAATTCTTACAGCATCTCTGTAGTTCAAGTTGATATTCAGTCCAAAAGGCCGTCCGGCAAATGTTTCTGATGGTACGAACGAGTAAGCAAGAGTTGCCTCATGATTAGGTTTAACGATCTTATTATACGCAACAGTCGAGAAATTTTGTATATAAAAATTGAAATCCATGGGATAGCGGAATGATGTATCGACGGTTTCCACAATAAAATCGGTCTCACCTTTATTTGTAAAACCGATCAAGAATTCCACTGGAACGCCTCCTGGTAATTCTGAAAAATTATTTATTATATTAAATATATTAATTAACTTCTTTTATTTTATTAATGAACTTTGAATGTATAAAGAATATTTTCCGCACCGAGAGTATTGAGTGGATTGTGAGCAGGTTCAATGAATAATATTGTCGTGTCCACATCCTTTGATGCTGTCACTGTATCCTCCTCTGGTTCTTCTTCTGTCAAAACTCCACTGTCCTCTCCTTCTATGTCGACAATATCATCGCCAGCATCTTCTTCTTCGGCAAAAGCTACACCAACACCTAAAATGTATTTCATTTTTGGGATTAAATATGAAAAAATGGAGAATTTTTTTCTGTTCAAAAACATCTGAAAAGTTTAACTTGTTTCCATGTCAAATTGAAAGACAAGATTATGAGAGAGACGCCTTATTTTCTCCTAAAGGCCGAAAATAAACTGAGCCAATGGTTCGAAAGTCTAAGTAATAGAGAGTCAAAAGTTTGAAACATAAATTTTACTAAATATTTTTGCCATGCAAGTTAACACTCATGTTTTAATATATAATAATAAAAGTGGTAATTTTTGTGTCTGTTACATAAGAATGCAATTAAAACTATAATGAAAATAGATATTATAAGTATATCTCCGAAAAAATTAAAGGTACCTAGCATGAAGTAATATAAGGAGACCGAATGACCATGTATTGAAAGTGGGCCAGATTTTGGTACCCGCTAAGTAGGTGAAACGTCTAAATTAATCATTTGTTTATAAAATTTGCTCTATAGCATAATTCATAATCATTTAAACGCTTAAAATCAATATTTATTTAGTCTATTAACTTTCATTTTCACATCAGGACATGCCAACAGACTCAGAATTTATAGCATTTGAATAATTATTTTCTGAAACCTGGTTACATATTGTGACATAATAGAAACCATTAATCCCTACGCAATTTCCATTGAAAATAATTTTCTTTTTTCAAGTAAAAGTAAAAAACAACCTTTACGGATAAAAAAGTAGAGTCGGAACACCCATATTCTTTGTAAATTGATATCAAAATGGATATCATTTTTTAATTTCTCATTTGTTTTGGAAAATTAAACCTTAATTTTTTAATCATTAATTTGATGGCAAAATCTAATCATAAGACTCAATGTTAAATGTTAAGAATCAAAAATGTTTATAACTTTTTTCATAGGTACCTTGATGTCTAAAAAGTTTAACTACACACCTTTATATTAGAGTAGAACGAGGTGAAAAAGCCAAGGTCCAAAAAAGCCATTTGACTTTTATTTAAAAACTGTTAAACCGATTTATCAGCCATTTAGATTATAAATACTATTAGGTAATACGCAACTTTTGATTCTAGTTTGGATGTTGTACCTATAGTAATATAGTTTTTATTGTAATTTTAATTTTTGAGTTGCTCTGCGTATAAAATTTCGATGAACTTTTCGAACATATTACAACCTGTTTAAGTGAACGGATAATAAAAGTAAATGTTTGTACATAAGGAGAAAACTATACTCAAAACGTATACAATGTTAATTTTTGGAAATTGAACTAAATTTAAAATTGATTATAGCTTTAAGAAAAACTGGTCTTGGTGGTGAAAAAGCCAGGGACAAAAATCCATTGAATATTACTATAGGGTCAAACCATTTTATTTCAACTAAAGTGGTCGCAGACTAATTTTAAAAAATTGTAATTTTTTACAGGAATGATACTGATGTTACTAAAATCACTTTAAGTGGAACTTTCTTTGCAGTCCCTGCACAAGTAATTTGACCTTAAATGACCTGGATAAGTGGAATACCTCTATAAGTGGAACAAGAACTTTGGTCCCTTGAGGTTCCACTTATCCAGGTTCGACTGTATTAGAAATGCTGAAAACTGTCAATTTTCTGCCAGTAGAAAATAATTCAAAAGAAATACATTTTAGTACAAAAATATAATAAAAATTATTGGCATTTGTTTAGAATGTCTAAATTTATTATTATAAATTGATATAAGCATTTAAAAATATAAAATAATAAATAAAATATTATTCCAAAGTTCATCATTAAATTAACCTATTTTTGAGATTTTTATTAACAAATAATGAGGAAATGGGATTATAAAATTAGGTAAAAACTTACGGAATACCAAGAATTTGTGATGAACTTTCAGTTTTGGATAAAAGTTTTCTTCCATTTTCTCAAAAAATAAAAAATATGTGTAAAATAAAATTGCTACTTTGCCCATTTTCACGATTTTCAAGTGTGTTTAACTTCTCTGGAGAAAATCGGAAAAATATGGGATTTTCATAATTAATTAAATTATCACTAATTAAACACACACTATGATTTTCACTTTGGTCCCGGGCCTAGTTTAAAAATTATAAATTTTTTTAAAATAGTACATTTTTAAGGGTTAATGAATGTATTTTTTATAAAGTTGAAGTTGGTTTATTATTATTGTCAATGCTAATATTGTCAGCATTTCTAATATTTAAAATTCATATTTTACAAAAGATATAAAATTATTTTTAAAAAATCTTTTTATTTTGTGATTTTAGTAACATCAGTATCATTCCTGTAGAATATTACAATTTTTTAAAATTAGTCGGCGACCACTTTAGTTGAAATAAAATGGTTTGACCCCAATGTGAAATTCATTTGTTTTCTACTTAAACTAACCTTCTAATTTTACAAAATTTTCGCATGTTTACTTAATAAAATTAATTAAACACGATGAAAAAATAGTTCAAAGTGCGCTAAAAAAATAAATAACGAAAAAACGGTTGCAACAAAATATGTCATCTGTGATGAAATTTAAGGGAGACTTTAAAAAAACTATAAAAATACCAAAATTAATAACATATTATGCTAAAATCGCGAGGTGTCTTTTTCCCCCCACCAGGAGGTACAAAAAAGCCACTCGCAGTGCTTTCGTAAAACTCTTATAACTTAGTCCTTTCATGGGATAAAAAATATTTCCGTCAAGAATATTCAAGCTTAATAACTAAACTTTCAATGTCAATTGGAAATTTAAGAAAAAAATTTTAAATTCAGATTTTATAGCGTCAAATGTAAAAATGTGTCTTTTTTACCCCGTTCTACTCTAACATTATCTAGCTGCACATCAAGTTTTATCAAAATCTGCCTTTTTATAGTATAAAAAATCAAATTATTAGTAATATTTCATACACTAATCCAAAAGAAAATTAAATAAACTTTCCATTTATCTTTTTATTTATCAATTTTTTTTTTTAATTTATTAGAGAAATTCCTGTTTGAAATGTAAAACTCTTAATATCTAAAAACACTCCGCGTTCAATTTTATTGAATTTTATGTGAAAGAAAGCTTACTACTTCTTCTAGTTTCCAGTTCATTTTGATTTATTATGCAGTACACATAAAAATAAAAATTAATAGTTTGTTTTTTGAAAAATTTTACTCACTTAGAAAAAAAGTGAACTGTCAATTTTTTTCAAAAATACACATTTTATTTACATTTTTATGTGCAATTTCTCTAAAATGTCCAGAATAAAACAAAAGTCTAGAAATTAGAAATGGTAAGCTTTTTTTCATATAAGTTTTAATAAAATTGAAGAGGGAGTGTTTTAAGATATTTCGAGTTTTATATTTCAAACAGGAATTTTTCTACGAAATTAAGAAAAATTTTGAAAAAAATAAATAGAATGTTCATTTAAATTTTTAAGTTTTATAGAATAAAATTCAGTTGAAAAAAATGACACTTTTTGCGACTTGTTGCGATCGTCTTTTGTAGGTGGAATGGTTTGAAATAGAATGCCTCGAAGTCTGACATGAAATTAATTTAATTAAGAAAAAATATTATTTTAATGGACGAAGAAGAGCATGAAAAGGAAATAATGATGATAAAATCTGTAAATAAAAATGACATATTGAATGGAAATATGTATAAAAGAGGCCATAGTAGAAATACATGTGGGGCAATAGGGACACATTCAGAAAGTTGTGTCGTGGCACGATGGGAAACATGAAATTAATGTTTGTGTCGTCTTAACACGAACAGTTCTTAAATTTTAAACGTGATCCTTCAACGTGTTTGAGTCTACGAAACAACTCAACACAAATGTTTGGTAAGGCCCCTGCTACACATATTCCAATTTCAAATATTAATGAAAATTAAATTATAAATTATCTTATTCCTTTTCTCTTATTTAAATTTAAGAATTTGAAATAAAGAATATCATTAAATATAGCGATCTCAAAAGGAAACGAGATAAATATTAATAAGCATCATAAGGAGAATTGAAAGTATGCAACAGAAGAGTCTGGATCAGAAGAAGCAGAACAAATATGAAATGTGTAAAAAAATAAATTTAAAAAAAGTGTTATTAATTGTTAGTAAAACCCTGAACTTGAATTTTACAGAAAAAAATTGATTTTTATACAATTTTTAAGTAAGATATTATTCTGAAGTGAACATGCTGTTTCAGAGGATTAAATGGTGAGTATTGTAAAAGTTTTTAATTTGATATTTTACCTTTATTTACAGTGAAAATAACGGCCGGAAAGGCGAGTAAAATAAAGAAAAAAATGTTCCTCATTTTGTAAAATGTTTTACACTAACTTTATGTTAGGTTTTTTTAATATAAAATAAACGTTGATTTGAGTAAAGACTTTAACAGTATGACAGCTTGCACATAACAGTGTTCGGCATCCCGTTCTAATACCCAACAAACAAGTTCTTTTCTCCACACTTACAACGTGGAAGACCGACAGAGCAGTCGTCAATCCGTCAACGTGGAATTTTCGACTACATGAAAAAATATTCCATTAGACAACAGGTGATTTCATTTCAAAACCTGTAAGAGAAAACTGTCTCTACAATAGGGCTCTAGAACCCTATACTTATATTATGGCGCACTCACACCTTTGGTTGCTGCCTGCCTTTCTGCAAGTTGTAATGGCAATACATAAGAGTAAGAGAGTCAGACAATTCAAATTGTATGTTTTCTCTCCCTTACTCTAGTTGCTCCACCAAGGTGTGAGTGCACCATTAAAGGTTTATTATTATTAATATTGTTTATTTATTTATTGTTTTATTATTATTTATTTTAAACTTTTTAGAAACAAATTACTAATTAATATGCTATGTTATATAAAATAACCTATCATAACCTTCGTTGGAGCATGCGCATAGGCATCTTGAAATATTTCAATGAAATTTATAATCTATGCAATGAAAAATTGAAATATTTCAATCTTGCATGAAATCTTTCCTGGCTCACAACCTTAGGGCGCTTGCACACTTCCAAAATTTTGGGCGAGCAGCGAATTTTCATGGCCTTGAAACTCATATTACTAAATATGATTGGCTCTACAAAAAGCTGCGTGAAAATGTACTTTGTGTACGGTCTCAGCTGACTGCCTGGCGCCTGCCTTGAAGTCGGTTCTACAATGGGCACGTCAGACGTCCACGTCCGAACGTGTCCATTGTAGAACCGACTTCAGGTTGTCATGGTAACACATTATGGAGCCTTTACACCTTCGGTAAAAATTTCCAGAACAGAGAATTTACATTGGAGTAAGAGAGACAGACTGTATATCTGTCTCTCTTATTCCAATGAAAATTTTCCGTTCTGGAAATTTTTACCGAAGGTGTAAACGTACCCTTAGGCTGGAGTCCCATGACAGCGTTTTGCGTTGCGTCGTAATGGGAGAGAAAAAGACGCAAATATACGTTTGCTGCATTCTCTCTTATTACAACGCAACGCAAAACGCTGCCATGGGACTGCGGCCTTAAGGCCAACGCAGAATAGATCTGTAACCGGAACCGCAATCGTAACCGTAAGCGTAAGAATGAGTTAGAGAAGGATAAACAATATACCTATCCTTCTCTAACTCTTTCTTACGGTTACGCTTACGATTGCGGTTCCGGTTACAGATCTATTCTGCGTTGGCCTTGACGCGACGCACTCTAAAGGCCAACGCAGAATAGATCTGTAACCGGAACCGCAATCGTAAGCGTAACCGTAAGAATGGGTTAGAGAAGGATAGGTATATTGTTTATCCTTCTCTAACTCATTCTTACGCTTACGGTTACGATTGCGGTTCCGGTTACAGATCTATTCTGCGTTGGCCTTCAACGTTTTGGCCCATTCTGGAACCAACCTTTTGGGGTGCAGTCCCATGTCACCGTTTTGCATTGCGTTTTGTAACTAGGCGATGAGTGCAAATATAGCGAACATATATCTTCATCTCTCTCACACTTATGGCCTAGTAACAAAACGCAACGCAAAACGGTGTCATGGGACTGCACCCTTATGTTGTATCTACATCAAGAAGACTTAGTGTTCTAAGTCGGTTATATTACCCAGAGAATATTACCGAGAACGAGAATATTACCGAGAATATAACCGACGATTAAATTCTCTGAGAATTTAAGAGAATGTGACATAACCTCACTTTTGTCATTGCTCTGTGGTAAATTCGATTGTCCGACGTTGTGTTTTTATTTAGTAGTTGTTATTTTGTTTATTTAAGTGACTATATATTTAAAGATTTAAAAAATGACAAAACCAAAGAGTGTAAAATGGAAATATTTTAAAAGCAATGAATACAAAAACAATTAAATTCTTCTGTAAATTTTGTAAATAATAATATGCCACAAATGCTATATATTAAAGGTACTTGCACAGCTCTACTGACTGCAGGTTGTCATGGTAACACATAAGAGTAAGAGAGTCAGAAAATTCAAATTAAATGGTTTTTCTCTCTTAAGGTACACTCTCACCTCACTGTCTGCCTGCCTGCGCAGACAGGCGCCATAAGAGTGAGAGAGAAAAAACATTTAATTTGAATTTTCTGACTCTCTTACTCTTATGTGTTACCATGTCAACCTGCAGGCAGGCAGGCAGGCAGTAGGAGCTGTGCTAGCGCCTTTACTCTCGCAGCAGAGCTGACAGAGAGCCTTTATTCACAAATAATTTCAAAATATTTATTTTAAAAAATTTTAAATTCATTGTATATAATGTTAAATATATTACTTATTCTTTATTTATATATGTCTATATTCAAAAGTATCTAAACTTTTATTCGTACTAAGTTACGCATATTTTATAAACCTTATAAATGTAAATGACATTAAATTTTTAACTTAAAAAATATGTGGTTTTACTTTTTTTTATTTACATAAATAACTTAAAGAATTCTTTTAGATAAAAGTAATCATCGCAATTGTGCTGAAATATATGTATTTATATTAATAAAAATAATAAATATACATTATTTAAATAAATAAACTTAAATTCTCAATATTCTCTTAAATTCTCTTATAGTCTCTTAAAAGAATTAAATTACCGTAATTTCCTTAGGGAAATTACCCCAACTTAAATTCTCGAGAATTTAAGAACACTACTTCCTGATAGCACCCCAGTGGATATGCATGCGTCTCTTGAATTTTCCCCCACCGAACTTGAATAGCCTTAATGGAGAGTCCACAATATGTGCAAATATGTAGGTAGCAAGTCCAAGTGCAAGTGCGATTCCTATACATTTAGCATTGGTTCGCACTTGCACTTCTTGCCTTTTGCACCTATTGTGGACTCTCCATAAGGTACACTCTCACCTCTACTGCCTGCCTGCCTGCGCAGGCAGGCGCCATAAGAGTGAGAGAAAAAAAAATTAAATTTGAATTTTCTGACTCTCTTACTCTAATGTGTTACCATGTCAACCTGCAGGCAGGCAGGCAGGCAGGCAGTAGGAGCTGTGCTAGCGCCTTTATTATATTAGGCCCTTAGCCAATAGGAATTTCCGATTCAACAGAAATAATTCTAAAAGAGATTTCTTACTGGCTTAAACTTTATCATTATTCGATACCCATCCCATGGCCATCACTATTCACTATAAAGTTGATATTACTAATTTTGCTAATAAAAACATAAATATTACTGCTGATTCAAATGGAATGTTTTTATTAATATATGTAAAAGAATATTATAAAAGCAAAAGTAATAATTTTTAAATTGCTTATCAATATATGGTTTCTTGTTGTTTTTACGCTTCAGGTAAAACGTAACCTATTTGATATTTGTTTGTACACTGCAACTGTAAGAAAAAATTTGTGAATTTTTTTATTATATCCGCATTTGGAAATTAGTTCAACCACGTCCAACGTTGTAAGTTGGATAATTAATTGAACATTTGTAAAGTAGTACACATATATTTCTATACTGACTTTCATACCTATCATATGATGAACATGCGTAATGTAATTCTATGAGAGTGTAACATAACCTATAAATTCTTAAATAAAATACTTTTTTTTAATATAGCTAAAAAGGATGGTATGACAATCCCATTTTAAAATACAAAAGTAAAACACAATTATTAGTAATTGTGTATCATGTAAATTTACATTAGGCATGTAATTATTTTTTTCAACTTGGCAACGATTGATCGATAATTATTATAGTGGCTCCGTTCTATAATTTGACCGCTCTGGTCTTACAATCTTAAATAATGCTGACAGTACTGGCTTTCAGTTTGCAGTACGATCATCACACTAGTTTCATTTCCAACTTAACGCACTTGTTTTATAAATATTACTATATTGCATCAAAAGTTTTGAGAAACATAATTTTATTTCAATTAAACTGTCAATTTAAATTTTTTACGAAACTTAGTATGGTAGTTTTTTGGGACTTCCGATTATGAATCTGAAATCTGAATTTAAAAATTCAAAATATAAATCGGAACACTTTAATGTGAATAAAAAAATGAAGTTCACTTTAATAATATAGTATATCTTTATTTTCACTGTGTTTTAAGCAATAGGTAGCGATGTACATTTGAATAAACTTTATTATTTTTTGTTTCAGAAATAAAACATTTTCAATGAACAGCATTGGTGAATCGTGTAATGAATTAAAAAAGGAGTATGACTCCTGTTTTCATGCTTGGTTTTCCAACAAATTTCTCAAGGGTGATACAAATGAGTCGATGTGTGAACCTTTATTTAAAATTTATCAACAATGTGTTAAGGTAATTGAAAAAACGACTGAAAAAGCTTGAAATTTTTAACGATAAATTCGTGAGATTTATATGATGGAGATATGCAAAGATTTAAGAGAGGCTTATGAAGTGTGTTTCAATATATGGTTCTCCGAAAAATTCCTTAAAGGAGATCACAATGAGTCGATGTGCGCTTCTCTTCTCAAAAATTATACCGACTGTGTAAAGGTAATGTTTTTTAAGAATCGAACCTGAAACTTTAAAATAATTTATTGCATTTATATCAGAAATCTCAAGATTTCTACAAGGAAAAAATGTTAGTGTATCAGAAGTTTCTACCAGTTACTCCAATAACTAGGTATTTCTGCTCTGTTAGTGCGTACTAAACTAGGTAGCTCTCATGCACCAACATTTTTTCAGTGTACATATAAATATTTTATATTTTTTTACACTGTTAGAAATATCTTTAATAAACTGTACATGAAGCAAATACGCAATACCAGTATTGAAATTTAATATAAAGTTTTATTAAAATTGATATACATTTACATTTAATTTAACATCATTTCTATTAGGCACATTTAATACAAATGAGTGATTCTCCGCGTAGCGCACAATTTGGATTTTACTATTATTGAACATTTTTTTCAAATTATAATTAAAAGTCGATATAGAATTTTAAAGAAGTTTAATATTGAAGAACGAAATATTCGTTGTGGGCCAGACAAAATAATTATAATTTTCCTTTTTACAATAAACAACCATGCAAAATTGATTACACCATGACGCGCAAAGAAAACTACTTTTTTAAACAAATTATTAGCGATTTTAAGTTTTTTCTTTTTTCACGTCATTTGTTTTCACTAACCTTATACTACTAAACTTTTTTTGACGTAAAATGTAAACAATTTTATTGAAAATATATGATGATTACACCATGAAGATTCTGCGATTTCCTGTGCAACTTTCTTCTTTTTAACATATAAAAAACAAAAAAAATAATTTTTTAAATTAGATTCTATCTTAGTAATTCATTTAGAAGAGTTTATTGATGCTTTTTACTGATGTTAAGTAATATTTTGATTTTACTTTTATGTAAATTATGCAATTTTACAAGGAGATTATACCATGACGCGAAAACGAGGGACAAGAAATAACTACAAAAATATTAAAAAATAATTTTTTGTTCACAAGTGTTTTGTTTTTCTCAATTCATTATAATTATTACTATATTTTACTAAAAATATAACATTTTTTATATGAAATGGTAGTATTATACCTTGACGCTTTTGACTTTAAAACAGATTTTTATGCAAAATTATAAACTTTAAATGAAAACAACAATAAGATTTTTTTGTCAGCATGGAAATTAGTTTTCACTGTTAGAAATTAATTGCTTAAAAAACACGATGGACATTAAATTGTGCGTCATGCGGAGAATCACCCAAATATATATGTTAACCACAATAAAAATGTATGTTAAATTTCAATACTGGTATTGCATATTTGATTCATATACAATTTATTAAATTTAATACAGATTTTTCTAACAGTGTAGGGATACAAAAATTCCAATTTATAAAAGTGTTATTCCAAGAGTTCTAAATTATTATTTATCCAGAGGGTATTTGTCAAAAAAAATTTTTTCCCAAATGTTTCCAAAATTTCCTCTTTTCTTTTTAAATTTTGAAATACAAATTCAAGTCAGAAAAGATTAATAAGTATATTATTATTATTATTTTTAGTATACATTTACATTTCATGTAAAAGAAATTTTTTAAAGAAAGAACTTGTGATATCGTTTGAAATTTTGAAAATTGTGTAATTAAAAGATATTCTGGGATATTTTAATGCTATTAGCCTTACTATTTATATTTTTAATATTAGGGGCATTCTACGCGAAACGAACAACCAGAAATTTTTAATGCAAAATACTTATTTTTTAAAATGTATGAAATAAAAAAAATTGACACTTTTTTATAATAAATTTAATTGTCTTTAATTTGGTTATTTTTAATTTTAAAATTATATATGTAAAGTTTCATTAAAAAAAGTAAAAACAAAAGTTTCGTGTTTATTTTTAAGGATCTTCTACCATTTAACAAATTTTCGAAAATATCTTAAAAAATATAGTTTAAAGTATGTATATTATATGTACCAAAGGACAGAATGGAATCTTATATAGTTTAAAAGTTATTTAAATTATAAAGTCGTGGTGTTTTACAATAAGAATGATCAAATTTTGATTAATGGTTAGACGTTTTCGATTTATTAGCAAATTGTTCATGGTAATGTTTAAACAAGTGACACATAACATGTGATATTTTTAATTTATATTAACCATAATATTTTTTTATAAATAATGAAAATTTTGATGGTTATAAATTTAAATGGGTGAGTAAGACTCCATCAGAAATATCACAATTTGCATAAGGTTTTCGGATTGATTTATAATTTGATGAAATTGTTTTATTTGGTAAGAAAAATAAATGTACAAAAGAATTTTTCAAAATTTTCAAAATTGGAAGCTACGCCATATTGAATTATTGAGTACTTCTTGTAAATAATAAAATGTTTCTTATAATTTCACCTTTCATTTAAAAAAAGAAAACTATAGACACTTAAAAAGTTTTCGAGATAATTATTGCAGTTTTTGTTGAAGCGTGAAAACTTTTTAGTGTAAAAGATGACCACTACGTGTTTCCCTATACTTTTCTAAATGAAAGGTGAAATTATAAAGAATATTTTATTCTTTACAAGAAATACTCAAAAATCAGTCCCGTGCTTAGTAAATCAATTTTAAAAAATTTGTTTACTCTATTTTTGTAAAAAACATTCTTTTATGTAAATTTCTGAAAAGACATGATTTTAAGTATAACAGTTGATACATTTATTTATCTTATCAAATAAAACAATTTTACCAAATTACAAATGTATCCGAAGATCTTATGCAAATTGTGATATTTCTGATGAAGTTTAACCAGAATTAAAAATAATTTATTATTTTTAATAAAAAATTCTATAGTTCTAAATAAAGATAAATTCAAATCATCACACGTCATGTGTGACATATTTAAACATGAACCATTCTTATTGTAAAACACCACGACTTTATACGGTTTTAAAATTAAAAATAACCAGATAATGAATTTCAAGTTTTCAACTATATTTCAGTGAATTGAATTTTTTCTTGACAAATTACTAATTACATTTTAAATTCTAGAGAAGAGAACATCCTCAAATGTGAAATCCTTTGAATTTTTCCTCTTCTGGCTCAGTGAAAAATATTTAAAATATAATTTCCATATAAATTCCATATTATATATAATTTTTCTTCCAAGAAGGAATTCTTTGCATTTTTCCAATTATTCAAAAATTTTTCAGGCAATATAATAGTAATGATATAATGGTTTTAGAATGCAATGAAGGAGCATAAAATAGAATTAAAAGAAATAGAAGAAAATCATATAGAGGAAAAGAACAAAGGCCAAAGTGAAAGTTGACAAGATGACAAAAATAGCTTATCAATAAAATGGTTGAAGAAATTTGCCTGTAACTCCTGCACCTCACTACGGAAAGAGATTGAATCTTCCAAGTTCCTTAAAATTCAAAACGATGAGTACAAATATTTGAAAGGTTCTCGGGATTCTGTTTGATTCTCATCCTTTTGTAAATATATAAAGTAACGGATTTTTTTACTCGGTTATGAGATTAAACATTTTTTTCTGCTTAGCAAAGAGGTCAATTTATAATGTGAATTTTTCGTGTTTTTTGTGATCCAAAGAACTACAGGTTAGTTTAATTGAAAGTATATTCATGTTATATTATACTTTATTCTGTTAAAAAGCGTGCCAATAAAACAAACAATTTTATGCTCAAATAATAAAGTTTGATTTTGATTGAAACTTGTAAATTTCGACTTTTTAATTCAGAGAAAAGCTATAAGAACAATTTTTTGTAAATGTGTATTAAAAGTATACTAGTCAATTTCTAAAAAGAGCTGCCCAAAAGGCCAAAACCTTTGAATTTTTTGTTGTTGTCATGTTGCTATTTAATAGTATTTTATATAAAAAATCATAATACCAAAGGATTTTTCAAAAAAAAATGTGTTAATGTTTTTAACTATTGAAAGTTTTGAATGCATTTTATTAAAAAATTAATTTCTCAAAAACTTATTGATCGATTTTAATTGTTCAAGTGGCATTTTAGGTATTTGTCTTAAAATGAAATATTACTGGCATTATTTTCAGGTAAAAATATTTAAGTTTAGTGCAAAAAGCAACTAATTTTTTTAAAGACTATTAGATTTTCTTGCAAATCAGTACTAGGGGTTTTTGGGGTTTGCCTTGGAAAAAGTTCGATTTTTTGTGATCCTGTGTAATTTTTAAAAATCAAATAAATACATTATTAAAAAGTTTTCTTGAATTTTTATGTATTTATAAAATTTATATATTTTACTAAACCATTTTGTATTTTTAAAAACTGAGAACAGATTTGTAATCAGCAACACAAAAAACCCCTAGATACTGATTTGCATGAAGATCTAATATCCAGTAAAAAAAGCAGAATTGGCTGTGCTGTGAGCGAATAGAATTGGCGGTGAGTTTACACCAATACGTTTCCCCGTGAAAACAGTATTGGGGGCATTCTGCCAATCCTGTCCTCTGGAACGTTTCGATTTTAGGTTTATTGATCGACTCGACTGTGTACTGTTGATCTATTACCATATGATTTAGGGAGCTTTTGACGTTCGCGCTGTGGGCACTGTGGGTATTAGTCTATGGAGATAAAAGTATATCAACCATGTGAATGGTACGAAGACCACTTTATATCGTTTCGTCCCGCTCCCCACTACTTGGACTCATCAGTAAGGCCCTAGACCTGCCCTAGACGGGGGTAAGTGAATTCGGAACTCATATGCTACAAGACAATCATGTATAGCACTTGTGAGAGATCTACATGGGAATTGACCATAGATGCGAGATCAAATGGCCAATCCCCACAAGTCACAGCGATAACCTAAAAAATACCCTAAATCATATGGTAATAGATATCAAATTTCATTTATTTACATTTTAACAAAATTTTATTTTTCTGTTCGTTATCGTCAGTTTTACACTTTAAAGCAATCAGTCTTTTTGATTAAAATACCAAATCGAGTCAATAAACGTAAAATCAAAAGATTCAAAAGGACAGAATTGACGGTGAGAAAACAGAATTGACCGTATCCCCCAATAGGATTTTCACACGAAAATGTTAATTCCAAATCGTGAGAGATATCACAGCTTTTTATTAGATTTCGAATTATGAAACGAATCGTCTTTCAATTTATTAAATAAACTCTGGAAAATTAAATAGAAAAAATGTTATCTTCGAACAAGTCGTTCATATAGTTATGATTGAACTTCATTTAATAACTAGTTATATGGGTGATTCTCCTGAAAAGAAACCCTTTTTTGTTTGAATTACCAAAAAATCAAATTATTCTTTTTTCACTTTTCTTTTCACAAATAAGTATTGAAGATGCTTAAAGATAAAAATATAAGTTGCGCAAAATTAATTGCCAGAAATACGACGTCCAGCAACATTTTATTATCATGTGTTCTGGAGGTTAAGTATAATTAATTATAACTTTTAAATTAATGATTTTGTAAAAAAAACTTGGTAGGAATACTTTATTTTAAATAATAAATTGTTATGTTTTAATTTAATACACTTTTTGCTTATATTTTATTTTTATAAAGGGGCCGTACACATAATACGTCACGCAATTTTTGACCACTTTTAACCCCTCCCTCCCCCTATGTCACACTTCGTCACAAATCTTGAACCCCCCCCCTCCCCCTACGTCACGTCACACACGTAAATTTCACTGTAAATTTTATACATTGGACAATATATATTATATCTTACACTCTACATTATTGAATCAGTTAAAAATACCTGATTTAGAAGCAAAAAGTCAGTCACTAATTCAAATTGTAATATTTTTTTCTGACAATTAGTAAAAAATAACTGATGTTTCAATACAATTGTTTTTGATTGATTCAATTAGTCACGTTTAACTACCTACATAGCACTGAAACTTTCCTAAAAATTTACTAAAGATTTACTCGCAAGCTTCGAAATATTTAAATGCAAAGTTTAGTGAAAATTGTGTAAAGATTTATATATCTTACTTCAATAAATGTTTAGCGCGAAACTGTCCTGAAAATTTAACTTAAGTGCAATTCCATGGGAGATTTTAGTTTTTTCGGAGTAAGTAAACCAATTGCAATGAAATTTTGGAATTTAAATCTACACATAAAAAGACATATTTCCACCAAATATTACGTCAAAATATTCAGTAGTTTTTGAGATGTCAAAATTTTGGAAAAATTTTGAAATCGTTATATCTTCTTTCCATCTTAACCAAATCACTTAATTTTTTTTTGGAGAAAATTCAGCATAAAAAAACGAAAAAGTTTTTTATATTATGTTTATACAAAATTTTTATAAACAAAAAAGTTATTAAATAATAATTGAATAACTTTTGAATAGCTTCACGGAATTGAATGAAATAAACACTAAAATAATCTTACCTTTGATTTCTTTAAGATTCCGAAAAAAATATCTGGCAACGAGATTGTCTTCATATAATATTTTTAATATTTTTGTTCACTTATGAGCGTAAACATTAGAAGTTTCTGCTACTTTACGTGCAAATTCAGGTGCGCGCGCAGACCTTTCTCTCTGAAACCGGAAATTCGGAGATGATTAGAAAGAGAGGTCTGCGCGCACACCTGAATTTGCACGTAAAGTAGCAGAAACTTCTAATGTTTACGCTCATAAGTGAACAAAAATATTAAAAATATTATATGAAGACAATCTCGTTGCCAGATATTTTTTTCGGAATCTTAAAGAAATCAAAGGTAAGATTATTTTAGTGTTTATTTCATTCAATTCCGTGAAGCTATTCAAAAGTTATTCAATTATTATTTAATAACTTTTTTGTTTATAAAAATTTTGTATAAACATAATATAAAAAACTTTTTCGTTTTTTTATGCTGAATTTTCTCCAAAAAAAAATTAAGTGATTTGGTTAAGATGGAAAGAAGATATAACGATTTCAAAACTTTTCCAAAATTTTGACATCTCAAAAACTACTGAATATTTTGACGTAATATTTGGTGGAAATATGTCTTTTTATGTGTAGATTTAAATTCCAAAATTTCATTGCAATTGGTTTACTTACTCCGAAAAAACTAAAATCTCCCATGGAATCGCACTTAAATTTTCACGAAAGTATAGACGAAAATGCAATTCAAATGATCAGAAAAGTTTCAAGCTATATTTTTAAGATAATTTGACGATAGACATTTATTGGAGTGAGAAATTTAAATCTTTACACAATTTTAAAATAAACTTTGCAAGTAAATTTTTCGAAGTATGCAAGCAAATCTTTAATATACATAGTTAGAAAAATTTCGGTGTTTTGTGGATAATTTTTCAGTTATTTTTAACTGATTAAGAAGCAAAAAGTCAGTCACTACTGATTGTCAGTTAAAACCATGATTTTTAACTGATTCAAATTAAGAGAATATATTATTTACCATATTATAAATAATATGCCAATACCCAATGGGAAATGCCAGTGTAGTGCCGGTGTTCACCACTGGCTTAGTACTCAGACGATTGTTCGGCGTAGTCTAGCCGAGCCTCGACAATTAGTGCTGGCGCAGAACAGAATTTTTGTTTCGCCAAAGCTTGGACAAGCCACGGCGGCAAGTGCTGGCTGAGTATAGAAAAATTGTTCACAACGCTCTTTGCCAACATTGCTTTTTTGACATAAACTTGAAAAAAATTATAAAAAAAGTTTATGAATGTTTATAAATATACATTTATTGAAAAAAATTAATATTTTACTTTTTAGTTGTTCATTTTTTATTCTTATTAAATTTAATAATAACAATTTAACACAATTGTCTAATTTTGTAAATAATAAATTATTTAAACAAATTAAAATTATAAACAAAATTTAAACTTTAATCTCAATAATAATTTGGTTCCTATAAAATACTATTATACTTCTTACTATGAATAAAAAATTATTAAAAAATTACCACGTAATTTAAGAATTACGTAAAATGTTAAATGGAATAAGTAAAGTAATTTAATTTAATTATTAAAAATTTAGTTTAACTTATTTTACTTCAATTTATTATTTCTAACGTATCCCTATTTTTTTCTTATCTTTGACTCAATAATTGTATGTCTGAATGATACTGAGATATTAATACTTTACTGTACACATGTGTCGTTAGCATAGTGGTTAGAGCGTTAGTCTGTTAGTCCGTAGGTCGTAGGTTCGATTCCCCTCGTCAGCAATTTTGTTTATTTTCATAGGTTTGCGATATTTCTAGATTCCAATCGTTAGGTACTAAAATATGAACACCTAATGCACACTTACTGTAATTGTTTATTATTTAATTTTTAAATGTTATAAACAATTTTTTTCTACTTCATTTACTATATCCATTGTTAGTCTCCATCTTTAATACGATTTCTTTAAGAAGAGAAATATTTTATGAATAATAACTATTTATTAATATTATTTACTATTTTGTTGTTAAATTATTTATAATTATGAATTTACGACTAATTAATAACAATACTACATTTATTGCGGCAATATTCTCAGCCAGCACTGGTCCAGTGCTGCGCCAGCGCTGTCTGGCAGCACTGACAGACAGTACTTCGGCAGCGCCAGCCGGCGTTATCATCCCAGTGCCATGCCAGTGCTGCCAGTGCTGGCGCAGTACTACGCCAGTTGTAAACCCATTGGGTAGATGTTAAACAGGTACATAATAGATATTAAATAGTTTAAAGCATTTTTAACTTGTTTTATTTAGAAAAAGTGACATTGTCACATATAATTTCTTATAATCTTTGAATTTAAAAGATTGTGACGTCCCAATGGGAAATTTACAACTGGCGTAGTACTGCGCCAGCACTGGCAGCACTGGCGGCAAGGCTGAGAGCCAGCACTGGCATGGCGCTGGGATGATAACGCCGTCTGGCGCTGCCGAAGTACTGTCTGTCAGTGCTGCCAGACAGCGCTGGCGCAGCACTGGACCAGTGCTGGCTGAGAATATTGCCGCAATAAATGTAGTATTATTATTAATTAGTCGTAAATTCATAATTATAAATAATTTAACAACAAAATGGTAAATAATATTAATAAATAGTTATTATTCATAAAATATTTCTCTTCTCAAAGAAATTGTATTAAAGATGGAGACTAACAATGGATATAGTAAATGAAGTAAAAAAAAATTGTTTATAACATTTAAAAATTAAATAATAAACAATTACAGTAAGTGTGCATTAGATTTTCATATTTTAGTACCTAACGATTGGAATCTAGAAATATCGCAAACCTATGAAAATAAACAAAATTGCTGACGAGGGGAATCGAACCTACGACCTACGGACTAACAGACTAACGCTCTAACCACTATGCTAATGACACATGTGTAGAGTAAAGTATTAATGTTTCAGAATCATTCAGACATACAATTATTGAGTCAAAGATGAGAAAAAGATAGGGATACGTTAGAAATAATAAATTGAAATAAAATAAATTAAACTAAATTTTTTATAATTAAATTAAATTACTTTACTTATTGCATTTAACATTTTACGTAATTCTTAAATTCCATGGTAATTTTCTAATAATTTTTTATTCATAGTAAGAAGTATAATAGTATTTTAATAGGAACCAAATTATTATTGAGATTAAAGTTTAAATTTTGTTTATAATTTTAATTTGTTTAAATAATTTATTATTTACAAAATTAGACAATTGTGTTAAATTGTTATTATTAAATTTAAGAAAAATAAAAAATGAACAACTGAAAAGTAAAATATTAATTTTTTTCAATAAATTTATATTTATAAACATTTATAAACTTTTTTTATAATTTTTTTCAAGTTTATGTCAAAAAAGCAGTGTTGGCAAAGAGCGTTGTGAACAATTTTTCTATACTCAGCCAGCACTTGCTGCCGTGGCTTGTCCAAGCTTTGGCGAAACAAAAATTCAGTACTGCGCCAGCACTAATTGTCGAGGCTCGGCTAGACTACGCCGAACAATCGTCTGAGTACTAAGCCAGTGGTGAACATCGGCACTACACTGGCATTTCCCATTGGGGTAACACATGAGTTCCCCCCCCCCTCCCCCATGTCACACTTAGTCACAATTCTCAGACCCCCTCCCTCCCCCTAGCCGCGTGACGTATTATGTGTACGGCCCCAAAAAGAATTAATATAAATAATGAACATCATGTTGAAGACACGTGAAGTGGTCCCTTTCAGGAGAATCAGCCATATGTCACTTGTAGAAGTTTAGAGATAATATTTATAAAAAAAAACTTATTGTTCAAAATTAAGAACATAAACGACAATCAAAATTGAAAACTAATACTTATATAATATATAATAAACATTATGAAGATCTCTAAAGTACATGTCTAAATTTTAAACTTAGATTTTTGTATATAACAATAGATAAATCGAACTCTGCCATAAAATTATGATAATACCACTTTGTCAAAGTTTTTTTCTAGAGCTGTGCAAAATAATTCGAACCGAACTGTTCGAATTTTTTCGCCTAGTTCGAATGTCGAAAATTCGACATTCGAGTTAGCTTAGTTCGAATGTCGGTTTTTCGACATTCGAACTAGCCCAGTTCGAATGTCGAATATTCGAACTAACCCAGTTCGTATGTCGAATATTCGACATTCGAGTTACTACAAAATTCGAACCGAACCGAGTTTTGTTCGGTTTTGGTACGCTAAAATGTCGAATTCTAAAATTCGACATTCGACATTTCGGCGCCTCAAAACCGAACTAAACTCGGTTCGGTTCGAATTTTGCACAGCTCTATTTTTTTCGTTTCTTTTAATTGGTCGATTGTTTCTTTCTTTCTTTTGTTTAAATGGCCTCTGGTCCCTTTGAAGGGACAAATAGCCAATAGAGATAGAGAAATTGGTCGATTGTAAAACTTTGATTTAAATTCCTCCGCAATTCCAGCCTCTTGTAATACTAATTTAAGCCATCTATACTTATCGCCTGAGATCTGACCTGTTGGTGTGGTGGTTTGAAAGTTAACAGTAGATAAACCTAACTTGTCTCTAAAATCTTAGGTTCTTGAAAAGTAGAGTGATATTTTTCTGGCTAAACAAAGTGTGTCATTCTCAAATAGCAGAATACCAGGTCTTAATCTTTTTGTTCTGTCTCGAACACGCCTTTATCATTGATTTTGATCAAATTAAAATTAATTAAGGCTCGACTCTACACCCTGAAATGCATTTCTTCCTTATATCTAAGCGAAACAAAGTAGTGGCCAACTTAGGACCGCTATTTCTGAAATGTCCAAAATGCAACTTTTCACTCTGCATTCTATTAAGACTATAAAAACCATTCTATATCATTCTTAATACCACAAAATTATAGGAAAACGATCTCTGAACACAATTATATACTTGCCGACGTGATTAAATTTTGTTACTATTTTCAACCAATTAGCTTAGGCGGCCAACTTAGGACTACTCTTCCCTATATAATATAATTATATGGATGATTAAAATAATGTTCATTGTAAATTGTTTATGTAAATAGCATTAAATAAAATAAATTTAATTATAATATTTTTTCATTTTAAATACACCTTTGTTAATATTAATAAAAGAAAATTAATAACATTTTTTTAACCGGAAAAAATAATTATTTTACTACTACGATTGTATGCAATGCTACACGCTTATGTACACGTAAAATATTTTGGGCTCGCAGCTATCTCACTTGTGGTTATAGGCCAACGCAGAATAAATACGGATACGTGAACAGGGCATGAGAAATAAAAGGACACAGACAGCTTCTGTCAGTTTCTTTGCATGCCCTGTTCCCGTATCCGTATTCATTCTGCTTAGGCTTTACCGCTGCGCTACCTCAGCTGTGGGAGCTAATTTTCTTGATAACATTTTTTTTTATAACTACCACAAAAAATGCATTTTGAAAAAATATAAATTCATTTTTTATTTCAGCGTAAGAAAATACATCAAAAAATTTAAAAAAAAGATTAATATCGATCAATAATTAACGAAGTTATGACCATTTTTGTGAATCTGAACTGCTGAATTCTGTTTTGCACTCACAAGTAACACTATAGAAGTGCCATACGCCGATTTTAATGAAACTTGGCATACAAGTAATTCTTAGAAAAATATTTTACAATTGTTTTTTTGTTTTTCCCCAAAACCTGTTTTAAGGGCGGAAAACAACCTTACAATTTTTAGGGGTGAGTTGAATTATTTTTCAAAGTATACAATTGGGTATCTAAGGGTTTTTGGAGTTGCTGATTACGAATCTGAAATTAGATTTCAAAAATTCAAAATGGCGTGCAATCATTAAGGATAAGACGCAAGGTATCTGATCAGTAAAGTTAAGGTAAGATGTAAGTTGCACTCAATCAATGAAGATAACACGGAAGGTATCTGACCAATTGAGGTAAGATATAAGTCAGATACCTTCCGTCTTATCTTCATTGGTTGGATCAAGAAGACTAGAAACAGGAGAGATACCTTGGCAATAATGATGGTGGCCATAGTGTAGGTGTCATGGGAGGTGGCTAGTATAATAGGGTGGCCCAAAAATGCATTGTATAAAAATTTTTCGTGGAAAAAAGCAAGAAACCCCCGCAATTTGTTCCAATGCTAAAAAAAATTGATACGTATTTATTAATTAAAGAAAATATTAATATTAACACGTGCCACCGAGCATTTCAAATTTCCCATGTAAAATGCATGGAAAAAATTTCAATTTTCGAAAAATGAAAATCATTCGCGAGGGTTTTAAAAAAGTTAACAATAAATTCCTAGGATTTATAGAGGGCTCTCTGCCAAGTAACTTGACCTATATAACTTTAAATTTTGACCACCCCAACCCTCTACACCACTACCCAAATTTCTACAAATCGAGTATAAACAGCGCCGTGCTTTTTAAGTATGTACCATGTCCATACTACAAACGCTTGATTTTTCTCTCCGTGTGTGTGGCGGGCGAAAATGATGCGTATCGAGTTCCCTCACTCCGCCGTCCAAAGGTTGAAAAAACTATTCATGTATTTTCACTTGATATATGTAATTGCAATATATAAGCACAATACCTTAGGTGCCATTTTTTTCATAAAATATATGTATTAAACTATAAGTGGTGCAAATTTCAATTAAAAATATTAATAATTAACTTGTCAGGAATTTTCAGAGGAAAAAAAACTAACTGCGTTGACGCTGCTGACATACGCCGCAAAAAGTTCTAAGGGATCCCCTATAGACCCAAAACCCTCTGTAAAGGGTCGTTTAAGGTAACTCCAAGTTAAAATATACGTCAATTTTGACCTGTTTATTAACCTATACGTCAAAAAAGCGACCCCATTAGGGCACTTAAAGAGGTCGTTTCCTTGCGTCAAATTTTAGGCCAAATTTGATTAATTTTTAGACCTGTAGGTTAAAGATTAGTCAAGTTCAACCTAAATTTTGACCTAGAGTAACGACCTGTTAGAGAGTTATTATGGTGCTTCTTTTGGCCTGCATTTTAATAAATAGGTTAAAATTGATCTATATTTTGATGTAACATAACATCCATCAATGTGTGTGACATAGAATTACCGTAAATATACCTGGTATAGCTCTAAAAATAATCCTCATAAGGTCCTACATGGTTGCCACAAAATCTAGATTTCAAAATTCCAGGCTTTTCCAGGTTTTCCAGGTTAAAAATATTAAAAATTCCAGGTTCAAATTTAGGAATTATTTGTGATGAAAAAACAAGTATTTTACAAAACAGTGTTAACAATATTCATTATTATATAGTTATAAATTAATGTTCTCTTAAACAGTTAAAATCACAGGCATGTTTATGTTTATTTTTCTGAAAGTGATACTTTTGATATTCGATTTTTCAATTTATTTTTTTTTAAATTATATGGTTTTTTCTATTGAAACTACTTTATTTCATACTCAAAAGTAAGAATTTTTTTATAAATATTATATAGAAAAATTAAACATCAGACCATTAACTTTATTTTAATGTGCATTCACATTTTTTTATAATATTTTTAATGTATAAAAACATCATTAATCATCGTGAAGTAATTTTAACTTAAACTGAAGACAAAATTTAAACATTTTTATCACATATAAAACGGAGGTACAAAAATTTTTAAAATGCACATAATGATAGAAAAACATTGTATTTTTTAACACTATTTTTAAAAAATTTTTAAGAGTTTGAAAAAAACCATAAAAATTTAGTTCTCTTATAAATTATAAATTTTTTACTATAAAAATGGTTAATAATATTATTAGAGAGTAGATTCTATAAAATTAATCGAGATATCAAAAATGTCACTTTCAGAAGAATCAGCCATAATTAGAACATTGAAGTCATGTCTAAATTAAATAATTTTTATCTTTAAACTTTGTTCAAAATCTTGAACAGAAAGCAACTAGTAACAAAAAATTTTGACAATCGTAATACTAATAAAGATATAAAATCCTTTTTTTAGAACAATCGTAACAACATTTTTCACAGTTTCAGTCAATAATTAAAAAAAAAATTAATTAATTTAAAGAGAAAACATGGAAAAGGGAAATTGCATGTTAACATTTTTAAAGAAAAAAAACATGTTGAATGGAATTTTTCTTAATATCTTTCATTAACCCAAAAAAATTCCAGAAATTCGTTCAAATTCCATGCTAATTCCAGGTTTTCCATATCCTTTTTCAATTTCCATGCTATTTCCAGGTTTTCCAGGTTTTCCAGGTTGTGTGGCAACCATGGGTCCATTACTCTAGGTCAAATTTGGCCTATTTTAGGTAAGTTAAAAATAGGTCAAATTTGACCTAGGGTAACGACCATTTACAAAGGCTCATTATAGTATACTTATAATAACTTTAGGTCAAAATATAGGTCAATTTTGGCCTATTTTTTGAACTACATAGGTAAAGAAAGTTAACTCAAATGGTCATTCCTTTATACGTTATAATTTAGGGCAAAGTTGACAAATTTTTCGATCTATAGGTTAAAAAATAAGTCAGAGTTTGAAAATATTGTAAAGAACAAAAATATAAATACTTATAGTATGTAAAAAATTGTTATCTTTCAAGTAATAAGAATTACTAAGTTATAAACAAAAAAATACAAGACGTAAAAAAATCAAGATAAATCAAGAAAAAAATATTGTGCAGTAGCGCAACTAAAAAATAGCACGATAAAAACGTGAGCAGTTTTGAAAAAAATCAAAAATATACTGTTCGATTTATTTAAAAAATAAAAAAAAATTTGTTAATAATAATTTTTTTTTGTTTTTTTAGGTTAATATTTTTTTTATTAAAATGCTTCTAAATACGAGTAATTTAAAACAAAACCCATCTCAATTGTTTTAAAATAACAGACCCGTCTAACTTTGACTATCCAGTTTTCTCAGTGTAGAAATAAGGGTAATGGAAAAACCACGTTTTCCAAACTATTGTTTGACATGTTCAGCAACCGGAAATCGAGAGCAAAATATAGGGCTCTTATATGGAGCCCCCAGACTACTAGAAACCACTGAGACTTTGCTGTTTGCACTTTTTTCCCTGCAGGGTATGGGCTTCATAGCCTCAAAATGCATTAAAATATTGTTTCCTTTATCTGTCATAAGATCAACACAAAATAGCTTCGCGAACGAGACGCATGATATATAAGAAGACATAAATATATCTCTGTCCTTTTCTAACTTATGCTTTGCGTTCGTGAAGCTGTTGTGCTTATTCCTTTAAGTACCTAACTCAGTTGTGCTTAGGTCTTAAAAGTTACATTATAAGTGTAAATTATCTTAATTAAAATCTTTACATTATTTCTGTCTCCTTATAATTATAGAATTTTGGAAAATAGAAACTTTTATTTCCCTACGATTCTAACCTTATAAAATGTCCCAAAAAAGTAAAGTTATTGATCTCTACAAAAATGTGAGTTTAAAAGAAATATATTTAATGAATTCAATTACATAATATAAAATTCTTTGTTTATTAATAACATGTTAACCTGTAGTAATAATCAAAGCACGTATATAAAAAAACTGTAAGAGGAATATTTTTTTGACTTTATTAGAAAATTAGTTAGAAAATCCTTAAGTGTTTTCATTTATTGTAGTATTAATTTAGAGAAAATAATAAAGTTATGAATTGCTTTGGTCAAACGATCAATTTAATTAAGAATTTTACAAAAAACTGTCGTTTCGTTATAAGTTGAGTACCATCCTCAGTGTTTCTAAATAATATAAATAAATTTTGTTTAAGATTGTGAAAAACGGAATAATAAGAAACAAAAAACGTTGCTAACAAACTCACAAAAGTCTAAAAAAGAATATTAATTTGTCACAGATAGAATTAAAAACATAAAAAAACTTTGAGAAAAAATAAATAAAACAACTTATTTTAAAAATCTTTCGGGACTGATGTTGTTTTACCAGGAAGGAAGAGTAAGGAGACCGAACTCTGCTTCTACCACCCCTGTCCGTCTTTCCCAGAAATTAGTCAGCTTAGTGGTTTGCACTTTAATGTGCAAAAAAGTTCCTCGAGATGGCGCAGTACTCACTACTCGTCAGCAATATTCGTTACCTCATTCATTATTGTATTTGTTGTGTTGAAATCGGTTAGAAATCTCAACTAAATTTTATAAAAAAATGTGAAAGTAAAAAAAGTATTAACATTAAAAACTATTTTAATGTTGTAAAAAGAGCATATTGTTTAAAAAATGAAAATGTTTTTAATAAGTAGCCGGCAAAGCTTGCCTTAGTTTAAAAATTTTAAAAAAAGTTTAAAACTTTTAAATTTTTATTTAATATTATATTTTTTATTCATTGTATACGTTCATGTTTGTTTTTGTCTTGAGTAAAATTTCATCTCAAATAATAAATAAAAAAATGGATTAAAGTTAACCCTCCGTCACACACCTAGGGAGGGATTCCCTCTACGGTTTCAGTATTTTTTAAATAACTTTTGTTTTCCTCATTGCAAAATAAAATCAGTTTCTATACCTTTCGACAATTTACTCCTCAACACATTTCTAAAAAAACATTTAGTTTAAACATAATTAATATTTAATTATGAAGCTTCAAAGCCAGAAGAAACTCGAAAAAGTGAGGTTATGTTAAATAAAAAAATCAAGTTTTAAAAACATTTTTTGTTCCACTGTTGGTTGATGACAAAATTATATTATAAATATAATTAAAATAAATTGTTTAATGATTTTTTTGCTTATTTGTTAATGTTACATTATTTTTACATGTCGAGTGGAATTTCTTTGAAGATGTGCATTCGTGTAATTAATTTTTATTTTTGAGACCGAAAATTAATTTGATTAATTTTATAATTTAGAATAATTTACTACATATTCGTAAGTTTGTGTTAAAACTAAATTTTTGTTGATTCCTTTGTTTATGTTGTAATGTTGCTTATTTTACAATGTGGTGAGCGATTCCCTCTGAACGTGTGTAAGGTCGGAATATTTTCTCATGTGTGTGACGGAGGGTTAATGCTATTTATATTATCTAAATTTGTTTTCTTTATTTTAAATATACTTTTTTTCTATGACTTTCCTTTAACTTTTATTATAAATCAGTTTATCTGATAATTTAAACGATTTAAACGAAAGTCATCAGTTTATTGTACAACACATTTATGTATTTTCATACTAATTATTCAATTGTTCTATCATCTTTAATGAGTTAAAAATACAATATTATTTCTTATCGTGTATTTTTAACATCACTAACAACAAGATTTCATTATAAAAACAAATAATTTATTCGTTTGTATGATATTTTTCTATTGCTTTAGTGAATTTTGAGCGAGTGTTGAGAACAGCGCCATCACGTGTTACTTTTTGGCACATGAAAACGCAAACCACTAAGCTGACATATTTTTCCTTCAAAATTAGTGTTCTAAGTCGGTTATATTACCCAGAGAATATTACCGAGAACGAGAATATTACCGAGAATATAACCGACGATTAAATTCTCTGAGAATTTAAGAGAACGTGACATAACCTCACTTTTGTCATTGCTCTGTGGTAAATTCGATTGTCCGACGTTGTGTTTTTATTTAGTAGTTGTTATTTTGTTTATTTAAGTGACTATATATTTAAAGATTTAAAAAATGACAAAACCAAAGAGTGTAAAATGGAAATATTTTAAAAGCAATGAATACAAAAACAATTAAATTCTTCTGTAAATTTTGTAAATAATAATATGCCACAAATGCTATATATTAAAGGTACTTGCACAGCTCTACTGACTGCAGGTTGTCATGGTAACACATA